AATAAGTTTTTTCATATATTTTATTATATTATGAGTGAGATATAATGAAATTTATTATTTAATAATTATAATTATAAAAATTGAATTTTATAATTAAATAATACATTATTATTAAATTCTATAATGATAGGCTGAAAAAAATGTAATTAAATTTTTTAAAATATTAATGTAATTGAAAAATATGTACTCATAATATTAGTAAAGAAAATTTATGAATTTATATTTTTTTTCAAAGTAAAACCCTTTTCAGCAACATATCACTTTCAGTAAAACAATTGAAAAATGAGATTTTTGAGCAGCACTGACATGAAACATCTTACTAATTGGCAAGAGATATGCATGCTTGTATTATGTACAAGATAATCAACAACAAGTATCATGATGCTGAAAGGCTAGGAGATAATCAGCAACAAGGAACTTGTTGTTGAAAGTGGAGTGGTTTACTATTTATTAGACTATCAGCAACAAGTCCCTTGTTGCTGAAAGTGGGGTGGCTTACTACTATTCATAAGAGCATCAACAACAAAGAACTTGTTGCTGAAAATGGGGTGGCCTTATTACTATTTATGATACCATCAGCAACAAGTCCCTTATTGCTGAAAATAAAGTACTACAATGTGCAAGAAGGTATTAGCAATAAGGTATATTATAACACACACCTCCCTAGGCACTCTTAGTCCTAGAAAAGTTCGAAACAAAATTTATAGTAAAGAATTGCAGCGGAAGTAAAAAACACTTATGACATAAAATATTTCTTCAAAAGAAAGCTTACATTCAGAAAATCAATTTAATAAAATGAATATCATATATATATTGGAAAATGCCAAAATATTCAAAGTTATAAGATAAACTAAGTTAAACTCATTTATAATTAATTTAAAGATTTATACATAAAGGTAATTTACACAAAAATTATACGAGGCAAATTCTTCTTCAAAGCTTTTCAAAAAAAAAAAAAACAAAAGCTAAGTCATTGTTTTCGTAATATATCGATCTGCCTCCCTATCGAAAACACGAGGCCCTAGCTTGTACATACAACGAGCATGCGAGTCCCATGCCAAAAGCTTCTAAACTGAGGTGCTGTTATCTTGATCTACTGATTTGAAATGTGGGGGAATTTTATGAGCTCACAGCCCAACAAATAATAAGTTTAAGCTATAAACTTAGGTCCTAAGACCTTTAGATCTATCCACACAAAGAGCATAAGACACAACGGAATCAAATCACATAATATTATAATTCTCACTATTTAAATAATAACTTAATATCTCAAATCATAAGCACAAATGTCAAGGGATAATCAATGACATTTAAATTGAATTCAGATACTAAAATTATATGCTCACAAATACGATGTCACAAGTGCAATGCATAAAATCGAAAATCACACAATGCTATGGAGTCCACTGAGGTGTGCTAGCAACACTGTACCGGAGCAAATCACAGTACTAACCCTACTGCGCAGAGGTCCACTAAATACCCCGAAGGGTCCACTGAATACCCCAAGCTTTAAGCTTAGGTCCACTTACTCCA